TAAAAAAAGTATGTTAAAGTTACATAAATAACATATGTAAAAATTGTAATTTTATATGTAATCTTTTTGCAGTGCATGCATGTAAAGTATCAGTTATGTCAATTATATGCTTTAATTCATTTTGTGATTCATTGTTCTATATAAGATATTAAAGTTGTAACCACACATAATTACCTGAACTTAATATCATTTGAATTAACTATTATCATTTGAAAGCACACACACACACACACACATATCGTAGTTTCATATTTTATACTGCGGTCGAAATATTTTCTAAAAGCTAGAAAACTCGTTTACCTTTATTGCATCCAAGTGTACAAATAATGCAAAGGAAAACTCCGTGTTATCTAAGATACAATGTTGAGCCACCGTCTTCTTCAAAATGACAAAACGTGGCCCAGAAGGATATGACTTTCGTATTTAGGTCGGAAACCGATGTCCTATTTCGCGCACGAGATGATACGGATACCTCCTTGCTTTCGGAATTCGCGGAATAATGGCGTCTCATGGCGCTCTTTCTCGGCATTGAAATATTAATCTGCCCCAAAGCACGTTCCATCTCCCGGCGGTGGAGATCGATGCGCGCATACATGCTTCACAGCTGAACAACCAGCTATATACGTTATATGCGATATAAAGGCCGCGATATGTAGTCCCTACATCCGTCACGTCCCTCTTTCCCACCTCTTTTATTCGCGGATTCTTTGACCAATTTGCAGCGGACATACCTCCGCTAGGCAAAGGAGTTAGGCGAGATCAAAAAAGCGCTTGCGAGTTACCGAGCTACTGAAAGTCAAACCTTACGTGAAATTTACCTCCATCCTTTATTCAGTTTCGAGCGAACTTTACTTAAACGGAAATTTAACCCGGGCTTTAATTACAAAAGCGTCGATCGCGTCCGTCGAGTTAACGGAGGAACAAAACTGTTCCCGTGGAGAAACAAGCTCGGACCGAAATAATATACTCTTGGGGGATGAGGAATTACGTTTGTTTTACTTCCTGTCTTATATCTTCTTTGGTTGCAAACGTCATTGATCAAATACTCTGTGCGCTGTGATAACACGCAACGAATGAGGTGGAAAACGCATCGTTCTCATCTGAACAGTTTTCGCGTTCGATCGCCGCAGAATCAGTCTTTGTCGGCTCGTTTCACCCGGTTTTCGTTTCTCTTGCTGTCGAGATCGTGCAGATTGTACTCGTGTTAGGGATGAAGAGGTACTCGAGCGGAGAAAGAAGAAAGGAGCGATAGGTGCGGAAGAAAGCAAAATGCTATATCTCAGCTTTTACTTTTCTTCTAGCCCTTCTAACAAGTGTACTAATAATTTTAACTTTTCAATTTTAACTTTTCAAGCCACTGACTTTTTATTCCAAAAAATAATCTTTTTCAAAACTTCGGTGTGTTTACTTCATTGCTTATAATTTTTTTACTAGTGAAGGTACATACATTTACTTCATACCATTGCATTTCTTAAACAGAATGAAATTAGGCTCTAAAGAGATTCTAAATCTCTATAAATCAAAAAATTACAAGTATTTATAAGTGCCAATACTGGATGTTTATATGTCATATACGATTTTTTTATTGAATATAAATTTAAAAAATAAACGTTTCGAGTCCATATTTTTGGGTATAAATTATTTATATAAGTATTAAGATTAATTGTATTTATTGAAAATGACTTATGTAAGGTTGAAACCTTTAATTATTTTTTTATGATAATTTATATTAAATAAAAAATTTATATATACACATGTTCTCTAAATTTTTTGGAGTGGAATCTCGCTCTAAAAAATGACAATTGAGCCAGTCTTGAAAAAGTGTGGCTCAATTTTCAATCTTTAAGAGTGAGATTTCACTCTTTAATGTGATATTCACTCTAAAGTTTTAGAATGTGAAAAAACATCCAGTGTTGGTTGTCTAGGTACTTGTAATCTTTTCATTTATGTTTCTTAATGTCTGGCGTTATAATTGAAAGAAAATTTGTAATAATGTTTATTTTTATAAAAATTACAAGCAATCAAAGTTAAGTATATCAGATACGAGTTGCGTAACAAAACAGTAGTATAGTGTGGCATTAAAGGATTAAAAGAATCATAAAATTATAATCTTCAAATTTTGCGTATCAAAATTCGTAAACTGGTGAGGGAGTTCGTAAAGGAAACTTTACGCACGTTATGTAGTGCTTTGAAAGAAGATATGACTCGAGATAGACGCCACAAGGTGCGATTTAGCGGAAAAGGAGCGGAGGAAAGTTCGCAAGGAAAATCGCTGGAAGATGCTGGGTGGTGCGGGAAAACTGAGAAACGCGACATGTGCGCGAGGTGAAAAGGGATGAAGAAGAGGGTGAAGGACGATCTCTCTCAAGGAGGTCGTTTCGTGAATGGCCGGCATTCAGAAGCACCGAGAAGAAGAGTCGGCCCTACGACTTCGGCGATATTTCAATTCGCTATCGAGCCATTCGAGCCACGCTAGATACTTCGGTACGCCTGTTTGGCGATGTAATATTTTTCATACGAATAGTGAGAATAACAGCGAAAAAACATGGTAGATCAAGCGAATTGGGGTCTTTGGATATGAATATAAGGAGAAAAATTAACAGTGATAAAACAGTGATAAAAATTGCAGAAGTATCTCTCTGTTACTATTCTTTAATACACAGAAAGAATGATTTTGATAAAGTATTTAGGAATTTAGCTATATACAGGTCTGAAAATAATTTTGTTGGATTTTATAAATAATTAAAATTATATATAATTATTAATAATAATTAAAATTATACATAATTATGTGGGCAACTTAAACATCAGTAATACTGCAAAAAGTTTTAGCATTCTAAAAATTATCTTAAGTCTTACATGATTATTTTGATGGCCCAACAAAATTATTTTCAAATCTGTGTTCTAAGTTTTTAGGTACTTAAAATCGTGTAATTATGATAATTTCGTGGATTAATAAATTATGGCGAATTAATTAAAAATTCATATAAATGCTAACAGTAAATAATATAAAAATTGCAGGAGTAGATAAAACACATTATAATAGTTGTCATTTTTAATATGGGGGGTTTAATGATTTCGTGAATTAATAAATTATCGAATTAATTATCGAATTAATTATCGCTCTAAGGTTTGTAATAATTGATGATTTTACTTGATCTTATCTCTAAGATACGGTGTCTCGTAACACATACTTTATGTTACCGTTATATACCACTCGTTGCAATAATATAAAGGACTAGCGAGAACAATGTGATATAAGTAACGGCCGCTCTTTGTAAAACCCCGGCGAAGTATCGTCGACTTCTGGACTATTCGCGGATATATTTGTTCCCGGTTCATTGATTCGCAGGCGCTTAATCGCGTGGCGATCGAAAAGCGGAAGGCGATATTCTGCGAAGCGGCACGAAGCGATTTGTCTCTTGTCGGTCAGCACCCCGCAGAAGATAGAAGCGCGGAAGATAACCGCGCGCTCTCGGATGAATGCGTGGTAGACGCGCGTGCGGGATTGAGCTTCGTTTTTGCTTTGTATTTCTGTAAAATATCAAACAAAGCGCAACAAATTCTCGATCGGAATTTTCACGCCGAGATTACACCGTGTGAATCGATTTCTAATTTCATATTTTTTATAGGGAGATTGTTTTCCCGACATTCAGTGTATTTGAGAAAGGCGAACCACATACTGAGAGAAATTTTAGTATGTACAATATAACCATTTATTTTGTTTTGAATATGACTAATAAAAATTTTATTACTTTTTCCTTCAAAATTGTGTGTCGTTCTAATTAAAATTCGATTAGAATAATTAAATTTTAATTAGAATACAGCGGTTAGAATAACAAAAATTGTTGTTCTATTAAAAATTTGGTTAATCTAATCAAATTTTTATGAGAACATCACAATTTCTAAATGAAAAAGTAAGAAAGTTTCTGCTAATCACATCCCAATAAATGTTATACGTATCAAATATTTCTCTCAGTGTAAATTTGTTGGCCGTATAATTTAATTATTCAAAGTATGGCTTGATATACTCGTGTCTCATTAAGAGTCTAATATATGTCTGAATATATGCAATAGCCTATCCACCTGTCTGGTTTACAGATTCATTTGGGTAGCACGTTGGAGCGTATTGGTAACAAGGCGAGAGCTTATATCGTTAATACGGGGAAAGATAGAAGTGATATCGAAGTAATTTAACACTCATGATTTACGCAACCAGACTCGTGTTGAGCTCGCGGAAGAAATGCTCACTGGGTGTATTCTATTCATAACTCTCCGATTATTGTGTTTAAACGCTACGACGCGTATTCATGCTTTCATAGCCAAGTCTGTATAAACAGTAAGGCCCCCAGCGAAGTATCGTCGACTTTTAGATTATTCATGAACATGTGTATATATGTATTTGGTGTATGTGTGTATATATATATATATGTATATATATATATTAGGTGTTGGAATTAATTCGTAGCGTTTTACAAGTGATGGGAAGTACTTTCATTAATGTATTTTTTAATGCTCATGTGAAATAAATAACATTCTTTCATTAAAAAACGCTACGAATTAATTCCAACACCTAATATATATATATTTATTTATTTATATTTGATATATCATTATGTAGATATTTTTATTTTGGTTTATTGAATCGCAGACGCGCGATAATTAAATAAGATAAAAAGAGAACATTTTTATTTGAACTATAATATTGTATTATAAAATATAAATATTGATTTTATTAAACTGTTTCATATATTATATATATATTATATTTATTTTTATACAAAAAGTATAAATTTTCAATTCCGCTTTTACACTTGATTTAAATCGTCATAAATTTTACGTTTCTGTTGTAATAAAGATTGTTGATATTTCAATCTCTTATCGCGTGGTTTTCATTTAGCTCTTATTTACAAAATTATCTGCTTATCTGCATACAACGTAATTACGTAATTCACGAAATTAATTCAGTTTTATTATGGCGCAATTAAATTTTGTTTCAGGTATACGAAAACCGTAGTGGATTCCAGTCTGAATGCTCAAAGATACAATCCTGAATTCACGATAACGATGTCGACGACGCCAGCCAGCTACTCCGGCAATACGAACACCAGCGCGCTCATTGACCAATTGAGGCACATTAATCAGGTGAGTACATGAAGTCGTAATTCGTCGCCGAGGTCTTAAGTGCGATTCCTCTCCCTCGGATTAAATCGTGCTGCAGTTTTCATTCGTTCGTCAATTCAAACGCCGTGCGACGAACAACAGCGGTTGATTCTCGTCGAAGTGGAATCTGCGATGATGGAAGCTTAGGAACAGAAGTCATGTTTTCCTCTTTCCGAGATTTGGACCAAAATGATAAATTCCTTTCACACATATGCAAGTTTGAATATCGTAAAAAAATGTAGATATAATTAATAATAATAAATTAAATATGTTTATATATAAAATTTGATAATTATTATAATTTTATTTATGTATATACATGTACATAACTTTATACTTTTATATGTACGTAAAAGTAAAAAGTTCACATTATAATAATATTATCAAATTATTATGTGTATAAATATCATAAATATATTTAATTTATTATTAATTATTACCTACATGTTTAATTATACATAATTGTATTATTCAATATAATATAAAAATCATTATAAAATTGTATAAAATTATTTTGTTGCTATTTCGGAATTTAATTAAAAGCTGATTTCGCTGCAGATTCATTATAAATTTTTATTCTCTCGCTTCCGTATTAGACGCAAATTTCATCGAGTAAAGCGATTTGTCGCGATTCGTAAACTGTTATCGCGATAACTTGTTGGAAAGCCCGCCCGGTGACCCGTAACTGCCAGACGAGTGTACCAGACGAATCATAAATTCTCGTCTATCTAGAATTATTCATAGAATAGAGATCGTAGACGGTGTGTCGAGGCACGTGTCGCGTTGCGTAGATTTCACCTGAAAGCGCATGTGGGTGCTCAAACCCGTTCAATAGAGTACAAATACATATCCGGAGAGTTGATCGCTTGACCGCTAAAATAATTATGTTATAAAGGATAATCATATTGTAAGTTTTATAATACAATTTTTTCTAAAAAATTATTGATCATCAAAATTATCTGATTCATGATCGTCGCGGTTGTACATTGAAAATCCAAATGTGTAAAAAGTGAATATCACTATAATATATGTGTGATTAGTTTTTAGCAGTTTAAAACACTATATTGTATTTAAAAAATGGATTCACATTTTTTAAAATCATTTTTACATTGAAAACTAAGTCACATATATATTGATGTCATTTTTTACACACTTGGATTTTTTGTAATATATATCTATCTGAGGTCTGGTTCTACCAACGTAAGATTTAATCTCGGTTTAATTTACTCTTTATCTTTTTTAATTTAGAATTAGAAATATAGAAAAAATAAATAGTAAGAGAAATCGAGATTAAAGTTCTTCTTACATCAGTGAAATCAGGCTTAATGATATCACATTCCTAACTTTAAACTTGCAACTATATAAAATTGATAAACTATATATAGTTTATAAGTATATAAATTAATTTTATACAGCCTTGATCATAAGTATAATCATTCTCATTCAATTGTTTACATCTTCTTGGAAAAGACTGTAATGAAAGAAAACTAACAAAATATTAAAATTAATATAAATATTATATTTTTCAATAAAATTATTATTTAATTTATTCATTAGATAGAGAATGATTACGTTTGTGATGATTCAATATGTGGGAATGCTTCATACTTTTAGTCCAAGGCTACATAAAATTATCAAAATTTCGAGAGATTTATATTTCTGTATGAATCGGAATTGAGGATAGATTTCTCTAAATAAATAAATTCCCAAATTTTTAAACAAGTTTGTTTACGGTTCGTCTTTCATCGTATTCTTTCGTAAAGTTTGCGGCGTCATTAAAGTTGGCAACCGTCGCGTGTGAGGAATCGGACCGCTTACTTCTGATTGGAATATCGTCAGACACGCGTATGTATACACGCATGTATACGCATGTATACACGGTGTTCATGATCGATTTGCTGTCCGTTGTACGAGCGACTCCAATAAATGGTTCATCCAAATAACTTGTTAATTTGCGTCATGCAATTCCGTAACGTGAAACAAGATCTTCGTCGATGAAAAATTCGCTCGGGATTCCCCGGATTGTGAACGGATTGTTCAAATATACACCATGTATATGCATGGAAAAAAAAAACAGTTTTACTAAAAAGTATCGAAAAATTTAGCTAGAAACAGATGTGAAAATAAATTTTGTTGAACTCTCACAATAATTATATAAAACGCACAAATTGATTGCTAGAATTTTTTGTAGCATTTTGTAGCACAATTTGCTCATCATGCTTGAGTTTTCTGAATAATTCTTTCGACGGTCTAACCAAATTATTTTCAGATCCGTATCTATCTAATCTAAATTCTTTGGAGTGGAATTTCATTCTGAAGAATCAGAATTAAGCCAGTCTTAAAAAAAAGAATGGCTCAGTTTTCAATCTTTGAAGATGAGATTTCACTCTTCAGAGTGAGAGATTCACTCTAAAAAAGTTTTAGAGAGTAAATTTTTTTTTAGATACTTTAGTAAATCGTTTTTTCCGTGTGCGTATGATACGATCGCACGGTCGAGCGATGTGATATATCGGGTTGCGAAACCAGTGAATAATAGGACTCGAGGTATTATTGGCAGGTGTGAGCATTAAGTAATGGTCACAAGGTGTTTGAGAGAGAGAGCGAGATTAGAGACCTGCCTGTCGGTGTCTGATTTTAGCAGAATATTAATCCATGTCTTCGTTATATTCGTGAAGTGACTAAGTTTGAATAAAGAGGAGTGTTGGCGATTAATTGGACACTGCTTATATCTGCAATGGGTCAAGTGGGTTAATTGAGATCTTTGGGTAAATGGGACAACTTAATGAGTTACCAATGACAAAGCTAATCCCTATCATCTCTTCGCGATCACGCGGCGGTTACCGAGCGTGTGCTCGCGACTTTTCCAACGAGACTCTGGCATATAATAGCCATTAATTTCGGAAAATTATGCGTTATCCCCACACTTAGTCGGCGATTTCAATTACGCTCATAGTCAAGTTGTAATTTGTAGCCACCTTGCTAACGCATAATGAGTGGTATTTCATCGAGCGACGATTGATAACAATTAATCTCGTCACAGTGTCTTATTTCTAACTTTATGACACTATTTCGTCGCATTGATAGAAAACTGGCAAAAGTAAAAAATTAGCATTTTTCGAGATAATAAATGGAAATCATCGATTCTAAGGATTAATATATTGTTATGAAAAAATAACATAAATGTTCGTCAATACTAGGATTGCAATATTCGAATTTTGAAAATCTCATCACATAGTTTTAAAGAATACATTATAATTTAAAATATAAAATGGACAGAAAATGAAGTTACCACTATCCATTTAAAATTTTGTTCTAATTCAGAAAGAATTTTAATCATAAATAAGTACACATATTTTTTTGTGACACTAAGAAAAGAACATATGAATCCTCATTAAAGAAATCTTTTTTATTAATAATTTTAGAAGTTTTAAAATTTTTAACTATATATAAAATTGCAGTACTTGAACTCAGCATATGACAGAATAATTTTTTGATATTTTTTATATTTATTGACTATATTGTTATATGTTACTGCAATTAGAATTATAATTAGAATCAAAAATATCAAAAATTTTTCTCTCAGCATATAGAACGAAAATAATTATATCCTACATGAATAAAATAAAACTATGAAAAATAAGAATTGTAAAACATAGAATTAGTCTACATTATTACATTATTTAAAAAATAAGGAAAATCTCTCAGGATTATCAGGATTCATATGTTTCAGTTATGGGGTTAAAAATGCGCCAAAGAAAAGCTGTTAATTTTCAATTATATCTTTTTTATCAATGCAAATTTATGATAATAGGATGTGGACGCAACTTTATAGAAATAATTAATCTGAAATATTTAAACAATATTGCTATAATACTAGTACTTACATCTAATGCGATGATAACGAGAGCATGTTCATATTCTACGTGTTTTCGTAACAGTTGGTGCAGTCCCAATTGTCGTCCGACATTGGACCAGATGCCTTTCTGGCCGACGAGGCCTTGGACGGCTCCGGAAGCGGGGACAGCCCGGTTTGGAGACAGCACGGAAACGGCGAGATCGATGACGACGAGGACGGCCACGATCGCGACGATGACGACGAGGCCTCTGGCTCTGGAATGGGTCCCACCACGATAGGTATCGTATCCCACGGGCCATTTACGTCTGCATTGATTTGCATTTTGATAATACCAGCCGGTACGTTCCCGGTGGAAACTTCATTGTCAGATGAATCCTGTGTACGGCGCGTATCGAGTATCATTATTAGCGATAGGACTTCGTTCTCGAGCAGGGTTCCATAGCACGTATCAAATAACGCATTATCTGTCGATGTGCCCTGACAAAAGAGAGAGAAAAGTTTTTTTTCCGATGGAAGAACGTAATAAGAATTAATATGATTTAATTACTGAACGCAAAGTTGCAACTGTAAAATAATGCACGAAGTATTCTGATAATGTGTAATTCCATGCGGTGCACGTTAAATATTATCTGAAAGCACATTTCAACAAGAGGGATTCCAATAATAAAGGAGAATTCGGATTAACAACGAGAAGCATAGGAGATAAAAATTAGCGGTGCGAGGAATGGAAAGGCAGCAGCGATTTTAAAATAACATACTGAGAGAGAAAAATGTTTGATATTTATGACTAATTGCATGATAAAATAATTATGGTTAGGAGCTCCATTTTATAGTTGTTTCAATTTGCTTGTTATATAAAGTCGCTTTTTAGATAAAATTTTATAATATTCTTCAAGAGAAAATAAATTCTTGTTTTGAGTACATAATAAGTTTTCCTCTAAAATTTGTAATAAGTATATTTTAAGACTATTAATCAGAAAATATTCTTTGTTAAAATCGTTACTTAAAATATTTAATCGTTACTTAAAAATGTAAACTGTGTAATACTGCTTAGCAAAATGATATTTTTTTATGTATATAGGCGACCCCGAAGACGATTATAAATGATCGAGGCCAGCTATATGTTTTTTGTATATAAAACTGTAAATATAATAATTATTATTAACATTATAGCACTAATAACTGTAAAAATAGAGTTTTTAATTATAATTCTAACATATTACCATATAATTATATAGTCATAAATACCAAACACTTTTCATGTAGATGAGACCACTTTTCTTATTCTGATTGCAATTACGGGGAATGTTCATTTCAATAAAACGAGAAAGGAAACTTGATGTATCAAAGAAATGAATTTGCATTTTTCGTTTCAGACCCGTCGATGAAGACTCATCCGAATGGACCGCTCCACAGTGGGTCGTCAACGATCTTGTTATCATTCACGGCCCTCGCTATCGTCTGTGCATCGCTTATCGCTTAATCGGTTACATCGCCGAGATATACAAGGGTATGATTTCGATCGCAATTCACGGCCAACGTAGACAAGGCATAGATAAGGAGAGTTAAACTAGTTTCTGTTCGCGACCGGAGGATTGTTAGCAGGTCGGATCCTATCCACTTTTCACACGGGATTCTTCCGGCGCGCGTGAATGCCGATGAGCAGCCCCGTAAGGAGATTCACGGGTGAGCTTCCGCCTGCCGGAATCGCGTACAAGCGATGCTGTTGATAATTTATCGATGGCGTGTTGGGCAGCGAAGCGGACTGTTCCTGCCGCGATCCCGCTGGAAGGACGCCGCGGTTCTCAGTGATATATATCGGGATGCGAGAAGTGCGTATATGTGCATATGTGTGTGTGTGTATGTGTGTATGTGTGAGAGAGGAGGGGCGGTTTGTAAAAGTATACGATGGGGAGAAAGGGGAAGAGAGAAAAGAGCGTACGGCGAAGTGGGAGGAAGGGACGGGGTCTGAGACGTCGCGCTTGTAAAACGAGATGATAAATTTCGCGATGTTTTCCAGGTGCAGTTTTTCGACAGGAATGTTAGTTTCTTTTTCTTATTTTTCGCGTACGCAGATATCGATAGTTCGTGAAACTGGAGCGCGTGATGCTTGCCTCGGTAGAACACGAAATTAACGCTTTTAAAATGCAAATGTGACTCTTCCCAAAAGTTATATTCAGAATAGGAAAGGTTCTATTAAATTTTGTAATTTTTACAAAAGATGCGCAGCGCGCATTTATGCTTTTTGTTTAAAGGGACAATTATTAATTGTTTTGATCGAGTAGAATATTATGAATCTCGCTACGAATACTGCAATGAAATTACTACTGTTATCGCCATCAGAATCGAGATTTTAAAGAAATGCAGGTCAGTATTCTGTGCGTGCATGTTATATATATATTTTTAAATAAAGTAAATTTTCAAAATTCATGATTTTATTTATCGCGAAAAAACGAAATTATTAGTGAGACGTATTGGATTAATTTTGCTCAAAAATGCCGCGAGCAGTGAGGCAAATTATTGAAACTGCGAATCGCGCGTGATATAAATAAGTCATTAGCCAAAAGGGTATCGTATAGACATATCTGTTTAAAAATACCAAGTACACCCATTATCTTACCCGACTGGCTTCATGTGGGACTCGAGTCGAAATGTATAAGGCCTAAGAGAGAAAAGTTTCCGTCAAACTGAGCGTACTCGCGCCGAGTGTTAGTATTACATAAGAATGCAGGATGGTGTCGCAGTAGCCAACATCGATCGCCGGCTCCAGGGAGGACAAAACTTCCGATCCGAAGGTCGACGAGTCCGTTGTCTGACTCCGTTTGTCTTTCGTGAGAGGGGAAAAGTGTGTCGCGCGCGACTCTGAGAAATGGCTTCGAGGAGCGTCATCTCCTCTTTGTTATATCGGGTGTATATTTTGTTAGTCTTGAATTGAATTATAAAACGCATGATTCGCTGGGGAAGCGCGAAAAAGACTGTGATTGCGGAGGGGATTTGTAGAGGGAAAGAAAGAGAGAGCTGCTAGTGCGCTGATAATTCTGATAGATAAACTTCGCACGGAAAGAACGATTTTGCTAAAAAAATTTAAAATTTTGCTGGATTCAGATGGAGAGTAATTTTGTTGGACCATCAAAATAATTGCTGGAAACGAAACAATGATAAGCAATGCAAAAAGTTTTGATATTCTAGCAACCAGGTTGAGTTTCTAACAAAATTATTTTGATGCTTCAACAGAATTATTTTAAGATCTGTATCCGGCAAAATTTTAGATCTTTCAATAAAATCGTTCCTCTCATGCGGTGAAAAACCCCACATTTTCGCCTTTATATAAGACAGCATCAAGCACCAAACGTTGCTTGATCTGTCAGATACAGAATAACCAATCGTGTTAGTTTAATGCAGAAAGATATTATCTACTTTAGATTTGAAGTAAATTTCTTTTGTTAATTACAAGGATATAGAATGCGTGTAGGAAAGATCACGCGTTCGAAAGTGCTACAAAGGCGTCTGCAATACGTCCAAAATATTTAATTTATCTTGTTTCTTTTTTTTGTTCAATTTTATAGGGCTATTCGGCTATTTATAAGATAAGAGATATTTTTTATTTATTTATTTTTTTTAGAAACTTGCCTTTTGCAAAGTCTGATCGCTCTGCTAAATTATGAACTGGATTCGATCTCGCGATTATGTTGCCGGTGCCGAATGCCAGATGAGAGTATATACATTGAAATGAAAGTATTTTACCTTCACTTCCTACGACTCGCAGAAATCATAAGGATATCGTTATTCTCGAGTCAATCGGCCGCGAAAGCACACGCCAACCAAACAACAGCCGCATTAGTGTGCCTCGTATGTTCTCGTGTTTTTCTTTTCTTTTTTTTTTACACAAAGCATGAAAAAGTGTCTTTCTCGCCCGACGACGTCGCCTCGTCTACAGCAGACGTCGATATGTTACAGATTATTATTGAAAACTACGAGGGGAGCCCATAATCGCCCGTCGTTGATGACGTACATGCCATATATATGTCTAGATCTACATATACATGTAATATATATGTATGTGGGTATACAAGGTGGCGCACAAAATGTCATACCATTTGCTTTATATATGGATGAGTCAATAAGTAATCTTAATATAAATACTACCTTGATTTTTGAGAGATAAATTAAGATCACTTATTGAGTCTCTCTCTACTTCTATTAAAATTGGTACTAAACTAGTACGGATTTAATTACAAAAAGTCTGGAAAATATTGGATAATTATATAGCATGACATTTCGTGCGCCACTCTGTATATACATATAGATATATGTATTCATATGACGTATATACATATGATATGACATATATCGTATATGATATACATGATCATCGCATATGGTATATATTATATACATACATATGAAAGTTAACTGCCAACGTTGTACGTACGTGATCGAGAGCTGATTTACTCGGGACGACGCAGTTTATTATTTGGTGTGAACGCGATCCTTGAGTACCGGGTGTACTCAGCGTGCGACACGTTTTCTCTTCGCGCCTGTGCGTATATTTCTGTGATCAATCTTTCACATTTACCTTCATAAAAAAAGGGGCCTTCTTAACGCATCAGACAAATTTGTCAAATTGAAGAAAGAGAGAGGAAACGCTTTCGAAATTCGCTTTCTCACCGAAGCGTCGAGTAGATTGGATCGCGATCGTCGTGAATTCTAAAATACATAAGCATACCATTTTGCATCCGATCTAGATTGGATCGTCGATCGTGGATCATGTTCGCCAGAATATTATATGTTTATCCATTTTTTATTAAAAGTACATTTTTTTTTATTTTATTGATTGCGAGCTGGAAAGAAATTTTTCAATCATAAATCAATATTTCTAGCTCGTAATGAAAACTTAATCAAGTATAGGTCTTTGTAGCTCTTGCTTCTCGACAACGATAACGTATTCTCTAAATTTTATTAGAATCTTATTCTAAAGAGCGAAAATCAAGTCTTGAAAAAGTAATTAATTTAATTTTTAATCTTTAAGAGTGAGATTAACTCTGAAAGTTTTTGAGAGCAGAATAGGATTCGATAGAAAAATATTAACTGTAAATTGATTGTCGTAACAAAAGCGAGAATATTAATTCATCGAAAGCATTTATTCTGCATGTGAGGTGTTTCAAAAGAAGTTTATTAATATTCAGTGCTAATATAATAGAGTTCGATCAATACTTAAACGCGACAATTTTTTTCATCGTTGAAATGAGTCACGTATTTTTCGCGATCTCGTCAATGCGTTGGTTAACTGTAAAAGTAAATAATGTGCCAAATCGATTTATCCGCCTCCGCCCCCGTTGACGAACAATTTTGACGCACGAATTAATCGTAATTAACAAGAGCCGGTTATCGCGACTTTCAATCACGAACGATATTGCATCGCGCAATCACAACAGCGCGAGATATTAAATTTATCTATATACACTATGTTTATATGACGTTTGTATAAATTTTTAATTTAAAAGTTATATTATCTCTCATCGCTCTTCCCCTTCGCGGATTTTTATATATTTTTTATTATATATCTTTCCGCGAGATTAATTTGATGATAATTCCAAGTTGAGATTGTCACCTGTGATCCACGATCGCGATTCAGTGATGCAAGAATACCACCGATGTTGAATCTTCGATGCTGCTTTAAGCATCCAAAGCGTTCCATGACTAACGGGAGATCTTTTTTGATATCCTACTTCGGGATTTGAAACGATTTGATAATATTACACAAGCTGTATCTGATTAAGATTAAAGATATTATCCCGTCGATTTTGCGCTAAAATCCGTACATTAACTTATTAAAGGGAAACGATAGCGGACCGTTTTCACCGTGCTGAAAATTTCCGAAAAACTGACGTTCTCATGATGAGAAGCGTATATGTCACACTCGAATCTGGCGATTTGCTTTTCAGGTCAATCGGGACGATTTAGACTTCGAGATAATTGCGATACCGTGACATTTTCCAGTCAGCGCAAGGCGTTATCTGTAATATTACCTAAAAGTGATGGTTATTTTTAGATGACATTTATACGTATATTACGTTGTGAACAGTGATCTTATATTATCGACAATTTTAAACTGATTGGAATTCAATTGCGTCAAATAATGTCACAATAATTATTCTTGTAAAACCTTAAATAATATTACGTGGTGAATATTATATTCAATAATTTTAATTGAAGCTCAATTGTTTCAAAAAAATATCACGATAATATTATCTTTCGAAGAAAGTGGAGGAATTTATTCTTAATACAGAGATACAGAGAGTTAGAAATAAATTCCCTCGGTTTTCCCGAATGAAAAGTATCACGATATCGCGTACTTTCTCGCTATCGTCCCGATTGTGACCTCATATTACTGTAGGAAAGTAAATGTGGTAGCTAAGCAACAACGAGAGACGGAGCTGTTGTTTTCTCCGGACGGTGGCCGCACGACTCGCGACGCTTCGGCGACGCCGTATTCGTTTTGTACATTTGATTTCCGGATCTTTGTGGAGGGGTGCCGAGTGCCTTTCTGAATATCCCTGGCCGTAGCGTCGCGTCGTCCGCTCCTCGTCAATGAGAGGAGCAGTCAGGACGGCCACCCCTGAATAAGGGTGCGTAACCGGGCGCTTTTTCGCTAAACGTATATTTCTAGCACGCTGTGCGTATGTGTAGATGTGTGTGCGAGAGAGAGAGAGAGAGAGAGAGAGAGAGAGAGAGAGAGAGAGAGAGAGAAAGAATAAAAAAGAAATGAGAAACATGGCCTTCTTCTCCTTTTGTAATTTTAATCCGCCGTATACTCGCCTCTAACGTTTTAACGCGAGCTCGCCGAAGATATCTAACAGTTTTGTAAACATTTACTTCATACTGTTAGGATAACACGCTGAGTGCGAAGCAGCGGGCGAAGGAGCGGGTGGGGATGTTTGAAATTAAG